CTAATCTGAAATTCATTGAATTATCGTTATCGACCATGAACACGTGTCAAAGAGTGAATGTAATCAATCTTGAGGCATTTGCGTTGGAATGCATTTAAAAATTATTGGAAATCAATTGAAATACTCGATTAATCTCGTAATCCGATTTGAGGATCAGGGACTCAAGTGAAACGTGCGCTTACTGACGTCACGCACGGTTTTGACTAACGTCACGAGATTTTCTCGTTGACGAGCGAGATACATGCGAAAAAGAAAATTGGCGAAGCGCAAGAAAACGCGATGAGTGAACGAAAAATTGGCGATTTAAACGATTGATCGGGAAATTAGAAATTTTTTAAAGGATTACCGCGCTTTTTTGGTATTAATGTGGAAAATTTTTCCGAACGTCTTCAGGGCATCCAATGGAAAAATAACGAAGAAAATTGACGATTCTGATGAAAGGCTGTGCTTTGCTTATCGGAAAATTTCAAATTCTCACGGGGCTATCGGGTTTTCATACAATCTCCCTAGGGATATTTGCTAGGGATTTCGGATAAGGTAAACATCCCTAAATCTTTTGCCGTGGATCATCGAGCAGGCAGAATCTCCTCTGTAAGCACGGACGTGAGCAGCACTTTTATTTTATCCAACGTGTCTTTTACGTTGGCTGGAAGAAGTCTTAAGGATTCTACGTATTCTTGTAAGAAAAAAAATCTACAGAAATTCGACTTAATTAAATTCCCATTGAGCACCTTAATTAAAATTTACATATATATACGCATATAATTATTTTATTAAATTCTTCAATACACGAATAATGTTAAATTGAATTATTCGCAAGGTACACCTCATTAGAGATGCTGTGTAAAATTATTAACGAGTCAGTTATTTCTACAAAGAAATTTTATATATACAATCGACTTCCTGTCTGACGCGTGCCAGTATCGTGTCTCGTTCTAGGTATTCTAGGGAAAATATGAGTCGAATGAATATTCTAAGAAAATTATATATTCTCTTACCTAAGGCAGCTAGCAATCGTCTCCTGTATGTTTCATTGCAGTCGGTTCGTACATGCATTATCGTAAGAGACTTTATTATCATACGTATTGCATTACTCCCATCCGGCGTCTCTTAATTCATTAGTCAATCAACGTTACCTCATACGCGTAGGATAAAGTCATCCTTTACGGAATAGCTATGCTAAGCAACAATGACTTATATGCATCAACGAACGAAAAAAATAATCATTCTAAAACCCGATCAATCAGATGACTCGTAATTCGTCATTATAAAAATACGAGAGTACACTTTTTTTAGGAATTTTTTTTTCATCCGGTTCCCACGCCCTAGCGACCATAATGATTATCCCGGTGATTACGCCCTGCCGGACGTAACGAAAGTCCTTGGAAAAATTTCTTGGTCCTTGGACAAATTTTGCCGAGCCATCTCAAAAACCTTTGAATCCTAATTAAAAAACTCTTTTTTTTTTCATGAAAAAACATCAATTTGAGTAATAATTGTGAAATAATTTTTTTTACCAAAAAATTTTGTTTTGCCTAAAATCCTCTTTTCAAACCTTTCTCATACAACCTCAATGCTATCACGGGCTATCAGCCTAACCTCGCTCATTTGTATGAACATTTTCGAGCCTTTATCATACGCGGCTTCCTTGCTCCCATAGGTAATTCAGCCACCATTCAATCCTTTTACTATATATCTCATAGTGGTTTTGTTTACTGACTTGTATTATGACTCACCTTAACGTGGGCTTCAGTATGTGGGCTGCGAACCGTTCTCACTGTAGGATGCTGCCGCTGCAGCCACCGTTGGCTTCACCGACGTACGACTCTCATCCAAGCTCATCCACGTTCCGACAGGGGCCTTCACCTCGGCAGTTCCTCGTATCTGAAACGGCTCCTACCTTGCGTCGCCACCTGCCCGCACTTTAGTTGCAAATAACCAACAGCTGCAAAACGGCCTGACGCGTCTTTTAGCAATACTAGTAGTGGCAGCAGGCATGGGCAGTGTCGAAATTTAGTTCAAATATGGACACAGTGGGTTGGTTTTTTTACTTTTATTTCTAGATTTCTGGATAAACTTGATTTTTGGAATTTAAAAAAAATATATATATGTTTAATTACTGTGACTTTTTGCTATGGGCTTTTTTTCATGATTAAACCAAAGGCTCATGCTCAGACCGGATAAATTTGTGATAGTTTTTTTTTTCGGAGTAATTTCAAATTTTTGTATTTTCAATTCTTAGAACGATCCGTATTCATGAAATTGACCTAATATTTTTTTAGTTTTTTTTTTGACTCAGCTCTCAGGCTTTATGGGACTTTTAGTATGTGCATATTGTGCTATTGTACTCCGTAGTGTATATACACTATGGTGGTAGGTATACTGTATATACTATATACAGTGGTAGATATAGTAGTCCCTTTCGCTGAGATTACGAGATTATTTGGCTAGCTGAACTCTCTTGTGTACCTTAGTTCGCTTTTATCCCATTCCGACAAGTACTTTGAGGTCTCTTGTTCTTATTGGACCTTGGTACTAGTATCCCCAGTAAGATCTTTCTATTAAATGAAGGTGGTCCATATGACGCTAACCAAACAATGAATCAATTTTACGAAAAGCTTTACTGTCATATGTATACAATTTTCCTTGTTGCGGGATACGCTAAATCTCTAGAATACACAGCCTCTCGGAAATAACTGTATTTTCAATGGATAACAGAACAAAGAAGGCAAAGCATAATTCAAGAGTAAATCTTAATGAAAACGAAATTTAGCCGATTTAGTATGCATAGAACAGCACAGTTTAGTTCCCAGAGATTTTTGGATTGTCTCTGCGTGAGAAGAATTCATAACCACCACTGTATACCCAAAGAGCTAATGGTTACCAAAAAAGAAAAAAAATACTCAAAACGAAAAAGTAATTGCAATTTCAGTGGTTTTCGGTAAAAAAAAAATTTTCCAAGTGAAACAGTCTCTTCCTGTATCAGTGTCCACCGAGATAAAACCGTAGACGTTATTTCCACGAGAGCGACGAGATTTGAAAGTGATCCCCAGCTCAGTGCGATGTCCGAGCGCGAGATACGGCTCTTCTAACATAAAACCAAAGTCTGGATTCCGTTGGGTAAAGAACTCGCTCCGTAACTCGTATTCAAGGTAGACGTTATCTTCTTCACGTGTAGCTGTATCATACCTATGTGGGACATATAATAATATAGAAAACAACGAAATTCCAACAATATATTGAATTTCATATCTCTTTCAGTATCGCTGTAGAATATCTCGGTAATTCCAGGATTACGATGGTACCGAAGTATTTTTTAAGATAAAAAATTTAAAAAAATTCATCTGTCCGATCCTTGTATATCTAAAGTACGAAACTTTTTATCTATGGAATCTAAAAAAAAAATGCTGAACAAAATAGTACATTATGTCTCAAGTTGATCGGCTTTCCAGGCGGATTTCAACATAACAGAGGTGGACGTGCTTGGCGAAGTTTTGTCTAGTGTCATATTGGCTGGGCCACAGTAATCTCGACGGGTTGGATGGTCGCAGAAACTTTTCAAGTCTTTTCCTCGAATATTCTAACTACTAAAGTGTATATGGAGAACAATAGTGGACGCGGTTGGACATAATGATTTCCATTGGTATTACGTTTGCTGAAATAACAGAGGTTCATGTTGCATTTACTATTTTGAGATTTATCATATATTATCTGTACCGATGGCATCCCTATTACGGTATTGTATGTAGTTGTGGGTACTGGAGAATCGTGCACTGGATATACGAAAATTTTGGTGATTTTACGTAAATTTCAATAAAATGTTATTGTTATTATATACGCAATGGGATTTTTTAATTGTGAATAGCGATATATTTATTCATTAATTAAGGAATGTGGTTAGAGCACCTTTTTTGGATTTTTTTTGAAATTTCACAATGTCGTTTAATACCGTCGATTAATATAATTAATTAGAAATACGAATATAATTAATTTTTAATTCATGCTAATCCGATAATCCATCTCGTAGCGTATCGAGGGACGTGATATTAAATTCCCTTCAATCATGAATTGATAACGTTATTGGATTGTTAGGACTTTTCGCAATTTCGAAACTTTGACACTTTCATAGTGGCACCGGGACATTTTATTATTTTTATAATCGGCATTTCTATCACGCACAGCTTCAAAACCATGAATTTTAATTATATTAGAATTCACCCGAAACGTCAATTTACTCGGCTGTTTTTACTTGAAAAATCTTAGGACATGGTCAGCCAGGTAAAATGTTCTGCTCTTATCATATTTAAATGAGATCAATCGAGTATGAGTATATTCTTTGATAAGGGCTGTTCGAATCGACGTAAATGCCAATTAAATTACGAAATTGTTTGACTATTATATAAAAATGAGTTTTCTTATCGATAATATCAAATTTTTTATATTCTTACACCACCTTGAGACAATCATAACAAATTATTTCGTCGTCACGTTCTGCCCGATTGATACGTAGCGCGACGCCCAAGTGACAGCAGCAGCTGCTTAGACTTCGGTAAAGCAAATAGAGCCAGACAAAACGAAGAAAAAAAAACACTAAAGGGGATGCAAAGGAAGAATTTTTGGCAACGTACCAAAATCATGAAAGATCATGACCGCAAGGGTGGAACACGTCTTGTCCTAATGACTTACTTATTGCCTACAGTCGAGCCGCGCGTAGAAGAACGGGGTAAGAAGAACGTAGGGGACTTATTTACCTTGAAAGTTACAGAAAGTAGGCCCTTCGAAAAATTATTTTAATCATGGACAGACTATACCTGTGTATTTATTCACAACTCTGTGAAAAGAGGGTGAAGCGCATAAAATTTTTCTGCTAGCACACGAGCATGCTGAACTTATCGATATTCATCGATACTCCCTTGTGAAAATTAAAGGGGATGACGTCTTTTCTTTTACCCAGCAGACTTACTCTTTCTCTTTAACAAGTTACCCGTGAATGCCTTTAATCGAATTTGAAATTCCTTTAAAATTTGTAAAGAAAAATTTTTATCTGTACTTTCGAATATCTGCCACTTTAAAAGACCATAAGAGATGCTTCAGAGGTTTCTGGAGCACGGTGCAAAATCGTATACATTTATGTATCTATATATTTGTATAAACATAGCTACAGTATATGGTTATATACCGTGATGGAGTGCTCATGAAGTTTCCACACGTGTCGCCATTTCTCCAGACAAAAGTTTCGGTTCGAATACAAATTGGCATAAGGAGAACATATATATATATATTTACGAGGCCGATAAATTTGAATGTCAGACCCGTATAAAGACTTGGGAAGAATTCTCCTTGTTTCTTGTCAAATCTTTCGCATACGATACCTCCGAAATATCCTATACAAGAGACTCCGGGATTTCGTCTAAATCATTCGTCCCACCTGAAAGCGAATAAAGGGAAGATAGAAGCATTCGAACGTAAGCAGTACTTTGTAATGTGTTTTTTTACCTGTCCGATCGACCCGCTATAGTCGAATCGGCTAAGCTCCTTTTAGGTTAATTCATTGAACATGACGGCAATTCGAACGCGAAGTTCAATGAAATGCATTCCACTCGTTCCTTTATGTGGTACTTTCACTGATAACTCTCTAAAAAGAAATACACGTATGAATGCGCATTCGCACGTGTACGCATAATCGTGAAACTCGAGCTTGAGGTTCAACGTTTGGTTACATAACTCGATTTGTGAACGTCACCCATATTTCGTTATAAACAATGCAGTTAATTGCAACGAAATGCACTAACTTTAGAAAATTAATTCGATACCGTGTTAATTGACGAGTCATTTATATTTATTTGGAGAAAGTTAAATATTTTTATTATCGTTTCGCATAACACATAATTTTGATATTTGACAATAATTAAAATTAAATTTTTTTTTTGATAAATTCCATGTTGTACCTCGTGGCTGTCGTAATCGAGAAAAATGGAACGTTGACGGATTTCAAAAGAAAAAAAGATTTTATTAGAAAGTTATGAAAAAATTTTTTCTTTCATCTTTTTTTTTTTTGGATAAAATAAAATTCCAGTTCGACAATAGCCACGGGACGTGACCATTGAGAAATATTTTTTAAGCGGACTTCTCACAGAAATTTATAATTTCGACACGTCGAGATCTTCCGCCGTGAGATTGTCGTTAATATATAATTAATTATTTAAACTCGGCTGAGGGAACGGAAAAGCATTCAGCAAAGTAGTCCAATCAGGCGTAACCATTTGGTTTGAGGGTGTCAGCCCCTTTGGCAATACTTAATGTAGAAAGTTTAGTGCTTTACTTGCTATTATGCTAACTTCGAATATATATACATATACATGTTATAACATAGCCGCTAATAAATTTCTTGTATGTCACAAGCCATAATTAATATCCAAAGTCATGTCTTAATTGCCAGTTCTAATTGCCGCGCCGGGGTTACCTTAGAAACAATGCATTTAGCTTGATAAGGGTACGCGGAGTCTCCCCGTTACCTACGGATACGGCGAGAACAATTCACGAATCTCGTTCAACAAGTTTGCTCAACGATTTCTCCACTGAGTCATTACCTTGAGGGATAGCGAATTAAGGGTTGCGAGTATACCGTATAGGTGTCTTTAAGTAGGAAAATAATTGTTGACTTATGGAAAGAAATAAAAATTGTTTAATAAGAACGGATGCTATAGGTACCGGGTGATCTAGTTGGACTAGGTTAGGTTCTTTATTTTAATTGTGACTTTTAACTAGTCCATGACGTTTCGTTTTATTCACAAGTACTGACTGTACTCGTAAGTGTTGCCGTTTAATATTTCGCTGCAGTTATTATGTCAATTGGCCATTTGCACTTCGCTTCAGCGGAGCAATAGTCAGTAATGACATTTCACATGGAATCACGGTTGCACGTATATTTAATAATTTCACTACTGTACTCGGTTTACGTATAATAATTTACCTTAATTATAGCGGCCATCGTAGTTTGAAATTTTAACAAAGAAAATCTTAACTATCTTTTCCGGATTCTGATTGTAATTAGTTTTCGGTTGACCAGATCTCGAGATCACTAGATTTCGATCTCACCAGGTATAACACAGTTCGTCATAGTTGCCAACTTCATGAAGTCTCCCATAGATGAAAAATGATATCGTATCATATGTGATATGTTATCCTCCCCCCTATCCTCTTCACGGCTATTGAATTTCATTTAGCCGTATCACTCATCTCATTAATACGATCTCACGTTGTGACGTCCTCTTTAAGGGAATTCGGAATTTTATAAATTTTTTTGGAAAAAATCCCTAAAAAATGTACCATTTTTTTTTGGTGTTCAAGTTTTTCACGAATTTTCGGATAAGCGAGTGGCTCGCAGTGACAATCGGTTGACAGTGTACTGTTGGAGTATGAAGTGACGAATGTCAAAAATTTTAACGGAATAATTTCCCAACGTTCGTTGATCTAGCTTGGATCCTCGTTGCGCAATAATATACGAAGAGCCTGTGTGCGAATCGGAGCGAATAGAGAGGAAAGAGGAAAAAAGGAACAGAGAAGAAAAGTCGAAGAAAAATATGCTGCCAAGTTTCATCGACCTTCCACACGTCCAAACGGAGGTCCAACTGTGAGCATTCTCTAGTATAGTTTTTTTCTTTTTTTTTCGTCTGTGACTGACTACTCAAGAGATTTATGTAACGGGCCAGACTACTGGCAAAACATTAATACCGTCGTAACACTAAACGTTCCGTGTTAACCAGTCGAGCAGAACGATCAAGGCTAGATTGCGTAATAGGATGAGAAAAATTTTTGGATTTTCACGATCGACCTGAAATACTGCTGTAGTTAAATTTCATATTTACGTAGTAGTCTGATCCACTAGCGTTACAGTAGCACGCGCTACTTACGTTGCTATAAGTTATTGTGCGAAGGAAGAAAAAAATTCTTTTAAAAATCCCGCGTAAACTGCTGGAACTTAAAATGGCACAGGTTGGTATCTTTTATTTTCAATATTTAACGTATAGTATTAATTGGTTATTCGATTCTGAAAAAAATGTCTACGTCATAAATATCAGCCACGTAATGCGCTCGTTAAACGAATTTAATATCGCACGGCCAGATATTACATCGAACGACCAGCTGAGTATTACGGCCGAGTAATAAATGAGGAGAAAAAAAAGAGAGAAAAATTCTGCAGGTTCATTCGTTAAGCTCGTAGGTGTTGCGAAAACCGGTAAGATTTTACGACCGGTTCTCTTCGCGTAGAAACGGCCCACGCAATGTCTCGCGTTGTTTATTTTATTCGTATCCTCTCAGTGCGCATGTGCGATCCAAGTTTGAATATAACTTGTCCCCTTTACGCTGCCACCTGACGGCCGGGTTCTACAGTCACTCCACGAGTCAGACGCAGTAGCCAGGTGACTCTTTCGCATTGAGTACCACAGAGATTATGGCCCCTGTAAAACATACTTTAACCACTGACGGACTGTACGTTGGTTAAATTCATAATAAAAATACTTCCTACCATAAACTTATCAAATCTTTCATCGATTGGATAAATGTTTAACGAGTATTCTTTTATCAGTGAAATTTATATTTATTATCTTTAATGCACCAATCTACTAGTCGTAGACTTGCTCTGTGTACTTAGCTATATTAGTCGCTACACGAGTTGTGTACTACGGTTAGCCGATACAAACGAGCCGCCGTTCCTATAGTTTTGTACTGACCAGACTATTGCCAGACTGCCGTCGTGGATTCTATACTTTGTTAGACAACCGCCACTTGAGCGTGCACCATAAATACAAGAATTTATCGTTCACTGTGGTAACAATGTACTGTAGTCGATTAAACCTCTATATATCTAGTGTCTACGTTATTCCCGTCAAACGAAAATACATTTAACTGGTGCATTCTGGAACGTTATATACTATACGTATAGACTATATACGGTTTACGAATCAGCTGCCGTTACGTCGCTACAGTATAAATTTCATCCCGTTTGCTTTATGGATACTGTGTCTACAATGGATACCGAATGATATAAGCATAGGAAATTTCGCTGGATACAACTATTTACATTTACGTTCTACAGTCGCTGTGGGAAATGCAATTGGCTGCAACGAATTTTGTTTTCCTATGACAGATTTTATTTTCCAAACTTGCACTGGCAATTACTAATTCCAAGAACACTCGAAATACGAATACTTCGTAAGATTTTATTTTCATTACGTCATCGTTCAACCATAATTTAATACTAGATTTCGCAAAACTTTTGTTTATCATTTTTATCCGGAATTTTGAGGAAAAATATACCTCTCCTCGCTCCACGTCTATCTGCTCGCTCTGTTTTACCATCAGTCGATTGTCGGTTATGGCTGAGTTGTAGAGCTCAGGTAGAGACGCCTAGACAAAACAATGAACAGTCACAGTCGAGACGAGCGATTAGAAGAGACAAGTCACGAACTAAAGTTCATCGATTTATTCCACTTTCTACTTTGAACTCTCCTACTCAAGAGAATCTTGTATTCGTGTCGTGAAAGAGGCGGAGAGTCTGTGAAACATATTGCGGCCATAAACGTATTGTGTACACTAAGAATGTCGAGGATCAGGAATAGAGAGGTTTGCTGATACGATAGCTTCATATATTTTACTTCCCTTGACACACTGCGAGCCCGAGTCCTATACTGTGTCTACAGATATGGAATCTCAGTCGATGTATATTGTATATGTTTTTATATACCGTTGCATCTTATATCTTTATATACAATGTAATACTTGTGGATCTACTTGTACTGTACTTGGATTACTTTATGTAGCCCGTACTTGTGTAGTGCACAAGATTCTTCTATGCAATGAGATTGGATATATTAGTCGAGATCCTTTTATGTTTTGCCGACAAAGGATATTGTGAATAATTCGCTACCAATGGGCATCGTAAATCATGTTGCGTCATATATTTCTGTATATAAACGTAGTCGCGTATTTACGAAAAATCGTTAGATTTTTAGATCTGATCAGACAGGTAAATTCAACAAATTGTGAAATAAGATCAAATTATATTTTGCGATAAAATTAGATTTTCAAGAGAGGCATTAACCGCGAGTGGGGTTACGCGATTTTGATCTTTTAAGAGAAAATTATTTGGGAAAGATAAAAACAAGGTGATACGAAATTTTATGTTTTAGGCAAATCACGTTATTATGCGCGTTCTGGAACGTTTCGTTCTTGTGATTGATACGAATCTTTAAATTTATTTTGTTATTGACGGTTTTCCGTTCCTCTGCTCTTATTTTCGCTATTAACGAATCGATAAGAAGTTTTACGGGAAGACTGATGAATTATTACGACTGTGCATTTTATTAATGAAAATACTTCCGTGATAAGTGCATAAGCTTATTTTAATAATGTTTTAACCTTCCTATGTAAATAGTGACCGATAGACTTTAAATTTTTTTTTTCCTCGCGCACATCAATTTGGTTATTTATCCAGTGGTTATCGGGCTCCTGTCGTGCTATGATAAAGGGAAGGAAAATATTTTCTACCTGCTTCGCATTACTGTCAACTCTTGTCAGATGCACTTTCGCGAGAGTCCATATATGATATGGACGATTTCGCAAGTAAATGATTATACGTGTTATTTTACAGAACCTTTACAAGTGACACCGTGCAATTGTGCAACATTGTTATTTATCCAATTGAATGGGACATGTGAAAATATCGGCGAACAGTAACATTGAAATTAATATCATTGAAATTAACATGATGACGTCTGACCTTACACCTTCTGAGAGACATAAGATTCATGGCTCCATGTTGATACACGTACTCGAGAATTATGTGCATGTTGGTGCATTAAGAATAGACAACACGCAACCATGACCTATATATACAGATTTATACAGGGTCATCCAGTTTTCAACTTACCTGTCAGATTTGACAGCTGTCATGCAATTTTTTATACTGAATGTCAATCGTTATTATTCTTACATTGAACTTCGATTGTAGTCATTGTGGCGAATGATGAAAATTTAAATAAATCTTTTAATAAATTTCGTATCAATATTCGCACTACACGTGGAAATCCTTAAAATTTTAAATCAATTATTTTTATATTTTGCAAACACCTGTATGATTTTCGTGCAATTTATTAACATGAGTTATTTTTTTATTTTAAATTTTTTCATTCAACTTTTTTCTTTCATGATTTATTATTACGTCTCTCCGGGGGTCATGCGGCCAGATTCATTTGCTCTCTTCAGTTTTTATTGCGAAATCTACTCGAATTCCGCCATTCATTCGAGACTCGCTAATTTCACAATGAAAATGAAAGTCAGTGTCATTATCAAGAGGTACGATTTATAAATCGAATTGCGGTCACTGAAATGAGATCAACGTAACGAAGTCTAACCGGATTTTGAATTTTCATTTGATACCAATAAACAAAATTAATGAAAAACTTTTTAATCGATTCTTCGATTGACGTCGCTTAGGTTTTTTTTTTTTTAACTGTAAAAATCACGCTTGCGAAGTTAGTATCTCATGTACGGGCATCCGAAAAATGGTTAAATGACCAGGACTATTGGTTAAAAACCATCAGGAACTATGGAACTCTTGGATGTAATGGGAACTATAGTTTTTTTTATCGATTCCCAGCACGTGAGATGCGAACTTCAAAGTCGTACAGTAATATGCAAACGATTTTGAGAAAACGGTTCACCCTCTAGTTACATTCCCTTCGGTAAACATTTCCATTAGAACTCCTTTAATTTATCACGACTAGCCAAACAGCTAGTCAGTTTCCCTAAATCCTGTGGAGTTTCCCTAATCTCCGTCCATTTCACCGAAACGACCACGAGCCAAAATTTATCTATAAAAATATAAAAAACCTTAATCACTATTTATACCCATACCATGCTTTTCGCACACGATTATCTTTTCATTTCAATATCAGATTTTCATACATCCCGTACACGAAGATACGCTTAACACGTATCAAGTAACCCACATACCCAGAACCCAAAGATCCTTTACGTGGAGAATATTTTTCCGTGCCATTTAGCCCGGCGGGCATTTCGACTCGCGCAATTAATTCACGTCTACTTGACTATTCCAAAATCTGCCTTCAGTTTACAGAGCATACGTGACCTAATGAGATAAGTAAATGACAGGGAATGGACGGCGTTTGTATTACGCCTTAAAGTCCCATGTAAACTTTCACTCCAAAAACATTATACCTCTGTATGAAGTATAAATATAATTTTTTCATATCGTTAATGTTACTCCAGCGTTAAATCCGTAAGTCAATCCGTGATGCTAAAATGAAGTTGACTTGATTTTTCTTATTGTTGCAGTAATACCAACAGTAACGTGGGTTCAACAACATGGAGTCGTGGGATTGAATCCCAAAGATCTACACCGAGTCCGAATCGTTTGCATCCCCACGATGCAACTGCGCCCCATACTGCACCAGTTTCCGTAAGTACCTGCCAACAGCTGTATCAAATTGTATTACGTCATAGGATATAATAATAATATTTCCATTAGTCCGTCAAATAATGTAGCGATGGCAATTCCACAGAGCATGGTAGCTGGTTAAAATTAAATGGTAGCCCTGATTACGATTTTACGAAACCACGTGAAATATTAATTTTGTAGTTTCAAAATGGCGCCCGACGGACGGGTACACGGCTTGAGCTAAAATTAACAATGGACGAGCACTGCCATGGCGGCTACAACGTGAAGTGTGCAGTAGATGGAAATTGCACGCTTGCAGACCTAACGGGTAAACCAAAACTTGGCCGATTCGATCTTCTTGGATAATTTCCATAAGAACTTTCGCGACTATGACTGCCAAAAGTTTTCATAGTCTCGACTATGTGAGCGCCCGTCGTACGAGGAGCGACAAGGGGGTTGTTGACCATAGGATATTTTACCTTTCGGCAAGTTTCACGTCTCTCTCTCTTCCACTGTTCGTATCTCCATCTCTCTCTCTCTCTCTCTCACACACGTACTTCCATCCTCTTCTATCCTTCGTATCTACCCATTTACTCCCTCCCCCATCTTTTCGCCCTTCTCAATCTTCTGCGGAGGTTCTATCGGATAGAGAAAAATCTTCCGGGTCGTTACAACCCCATAAACACCCCTCACCCACCACCCCTTATCCACTATTATTTTACTTCGCCAATCTTTTCCCAATCGTTCCTCAATCAAATAACTCGATGACTACCAAGCAATTTAGGGGATATTCTCAACGGCAGTAAATCCCACGCAGATTTCATTGGGGGATGAAACAAATTTTCCGTAATGGATGATCTCGTTGTCTAAGAAAAGGCCAGAATACACTTTAATTAGAATAATTATCAATTTATCCGAAAATTGACAATTACGTAGGAATTTCAGGCAAATATCATTTTCTGATTTGAATACGGATAAATCACCCTTGCGAGGGTGACGGAGCTGTAGGATTTCTTGGGGTCGGACGAAATACCCCCCCCCCTCCTTCCTCCCCCTCTCAATTCCAGTACACGCCCGACTGTTCCTGCTGTACTCGCTCGAGATCTTCTCTGGTTTAATTAAACCGAACTCCGCCGCTCTACTAATCTTCCGCCCCCCAAGCGCGTAGGCAAGGCTACGGCCCTGAGCACACATGCATTACCTTGCAACACGCAAGAGCCCTGTTAAACAAATCGTCTCTGTGGATCCACGCAACGTGCAGTGAGCGTACGAGTACGATGGGTCATTCGGATTTCACTGTTAACTCCAATAAATTTACTCCCTGCATCTCCACCGTGTACAGGATCATCGATCCGTAAAATAGTCGAAAATTATCCCGCCGGACTCCATTCGACTTACTCGTTTTCACTTACTTGGTACGTTTTAACGAAGGTAAGGATACACTGGTACGGATTTTAGGCAATTTTTTATCTATTTTCCCAAATGATTAGTAATTCCATCAGCCTACGATGGCTGTTGTAATATTTATAAGGTCAATTGGTTTTTATATCCCGACTCCATATTGGGAATTCTATTTGAGTTGAGTGTATCAATAATCTAATATTGCTGTCTGAAGTATATCGTATAGGAGCGTGGTATATATACATATATGTATACGTATAGGTTTAACGTAAACCGCAAAATTGAAAGCTTGTAATATGCCGCTGACCAATTTCCCCGAGAAACGAAGGATTTGGTGGAACGAAGAGAAAAGCTTGTTCCCGTTACCGTTAGGCGTCTCTGCGCGCGGCGTCGAAAAATCCTTGTATAAACAATGTGGCACGTTGCGAATTTTTAACGAGTTTCGCTTCCAGTATCGGCCGTTTTGATTCGCCTGATAACGCGAGAGTATCTGTATATTGCACTTACGTGAGCGAAGCTCGCTTGAACGAAGTTTCACATGTGTCACGTGCCACGTGTACCATATCGAAAAGCGTGACACGTGCGTAACGAATGTCAATGGGTGCGTTCACCAGTTAGCCAATCGAGAATAACGCTCGTATACGTCATTCAGCAGTGAAACGAACCACCGGCCGGGCCACTCGAGCAGTTCATAAATCTACCGTTGCGAGCAAAAATAACGAGCGTCATTTGTCAAATCGACTGGTGGTGTAAATTAAAAAAAAAAAAAAGTAATAATCCAGAGGAGTTAAGTTTTGGAAGACGATCGGAACCCAGTGGTTTGCACGATTTTATTTCTTCCCCGATAAACAAGCTCGGGGAATTACATAATCCTTGCGTCGTCGTCTGGACTTCCTTTGGGATGTTGGTTGTTTCGGCGGATGACGTCACTCGAGGACTGAACGTCGTCCGGCAAACAGTGGCGTCCTCCGGGACAAAAGTGACTTCGGCGCTCGAAGCTGAATCCATTGGGCTAGACTCCCGAGGTCTATCAATCTGAAGTAATCAGTCTGAGATCCGTGTAACCGCGGCAACCCTGTTACCAGAGGGTCTCCCGCGGGTCCCGCCACCTAATAGTGCCTGGAAGCATCCATCACGGTTTACGGATCTTCGTTTTCTCGTGTAAATCTTCGAATACGATTTCGCGCAATGTGTCGCCTTCGATTTGCTCCTACAACCTTAACTCCTGGGCGTCTTGTCGTAAAGCGGGGAAAGTGTCTTTCCTGCGATCTTGCCCGATATAAGGAATAAGCACGGGTATATCGTGAACCTCGTGTATATCTATATAGGATAGGAGATAGACCCGATACGGGAACAACCCGGGCGAACCTTTATTATTTCACCAACAAGATTCATCTCAATCACGCTTAACAAGATTCGGGCTTATGATTTATCTGATTACTTGGGTTATTTTGTTCTCGTGTAATTATCCATTTTTCCGCGTCGCACGTGAATGCGTAAAATAATTATCCCAACGGAAATTCAATTTTACTTTCACTAACGATCCGCTACCGATTATACGTATACGTCGCTGAGTTCAATTCGCAAAATTTTATATGGATGTAACTTTGCAAAGAATTTCATAAACTTTTATCTACGTTCTCCGCCCCTCTCCCCCTGCTCCGTCGCCTATTTTCCATCGTGCTTTGCACGGCTGCTAATGGAACTCACTTTGTTTTTTTTTTTTAATTTTAAACAATGTGTTACCAACTTCACACAGCCAAGCTTCAGTCGTAAGACGGATTAAGGGACGTTACGAAATTTTATCTGGATCGCTCCTAACTTAGGTGAGAGATTGAATTGGATGAGAAAGAAAGAAAATGAGGAAAATAGAAAGAACTTCGTGATTGGTCCAGTGAACCTGTTGGGCTCTGGGATTCATCTTAGTTATCAGACGCTACCTCGAGTATTGTTTATTTTTATCTGGGAAAATCTTGAGGAACCACTGTACAAGTTAATGAGGATTCGGTGAATGAGACGTGTGCGATGTCTTTTTTAATCTTGCTATCAGTTTTATCTGTGCGAGAGATTGGTATTGCCGAAGGGAAGAGGGAAATTAATTATTTTCAGCCGCAGTGTAAACTTATCAAGGTACAGGTCTTAATTGTTCTGCCGCACGTGTATATATATATTTGTTTATCTATACGCTGTATAATCTGCGAGAGATTTTAGACGGGGATTACTAATTAATTAGTATCCGAGATAAATATTCATGAAAATGAGATGGTGCTACATCGTCCTCTGGGATTCTGCGCCAGTACTAGCTCTTTCGGATGACAACCCGTATCCTGGACCCAACTGTATCATCCTAAGATAGCTGTTATCGGGGCTCTAAACCTAAGCCAGTGCGTAAGGGATAAAGCCACGTGCGCGATTTATGGATAAGATCGTCAGACGTAAAAAAAAAAAGAAATAATGATTTCCTACAAAATTTATGTACTTCGCAATTCGCGACCTAGCCTAGAAAACGCAATAAGAAGAGTCTGTAACTATATATCCCATATACATTGATCTTCCTCTCTTGGCATCCCCGCCGTCTCGTTCGCCGACAAAAAGAGTATCGTTGCCGAAAGCCAGCAATAATTCAGAAACGAACAAAACATCCATCCGTACGATTCTGCAAAAAGCTCATTCCTTTTAGTCCCTTATTTTCTTCCGTCCTTAAGATTGGTTTCTCATTTCACTCAAAAAGGCTACTCGAATCTGCCGTCTCATTCGGACGTATCAAGATTACCAGAGTGAAATATGTCAAATCAGCAAGACTTTCCGTGAGGCCTAGCGTGTCTATAAGCCAACTACACGTTTGCGTGTCCATATACGAAAGACGCGGTAGAACGAAATCAAAATATTCCGGTCGGAATAGATTTTCCGAAAATTGACTAAATCCACAGACCGCAAAGCCCAACTTCGTGGTAACATCTCCACATGGCACAGTGCACCTACGTACGAAATGTCCCGTGCAGTTTCCATTATCAAAGTCCTTTCCACGAACTTACCACTTGCTACAGAAGTTTCCGAAACGCCGGGCAAAATTCAACCGTTTCCACCGTATACGTACTGGCGCTAGTTGGGACGCTTGATAAATCCTCGCGAATGGCCCCGGCGTGTCACCGTCCATAAGTCAGTGGAAATGCACTTGCGGAAAATGCATTTCGGATGCATTTCCACAGGCGCGATAATCTGGTGGCACACAAGCAAAGCAATGGCCGCGCTGTTCAGCGAGTAAACGGAACGTCGTTACTCTGTAGGGATGATGCATACGGGTCGCTGGCAGCTGGGTGCATCCAATGCGTATGCAACGGACACCCTGCACACACGAAGCATAATCGGTACGTCACGTGCATTGCCATTATTCACTAACTCGTCCGCTTACACACTCGGTGCACTCGACGAACTTCGGCATCCTGTGTTATTACGTAATTGCAGGGAATTGCTCGAACCGCGTGTTCGAAGTGGCGCTGGACCGATCTGTAAGCGCGTCCGGAAGCTGCGAGAGTAATGCCACTGAGATAATTACGCGAAGGAGATTGTTAAAAAAAATTTTATTACATGAAATACGAAATATCGATCTCGGTGCATCGAGCTTATTGAAATGATTTATTTTTGATGGATACTTGAGAATATTGATTTTTTTTTTTTTAACGTTCCGCAACTGCACCAATCGTCAAAGTTATCGATCAGATAGGAGAGAGGCGGTACATGGTAATGCTTTTAGAATTTTGGGGACACCTGTCGGTTATCGTTAACGGATCGATAAAGGATTCATATGTTCCAATTTCGCAGAAAATCCCGAAACCTTTGACCTGCCTCCTTCGATGATCGATAAGTATTTTCGTTGGTTTCTATCGAAAATAATGCAGATATATTCATCTACTTCGAGCTAGTCGCCACGAAATATATTCGATAACGGTACATCGTTAAGGAGCTTATTTTGTATTATTAAAGTGCTCTGTTTGAAAATATTTATTTAATCAGTTACCGGATGATTGTCTCCTATGGAATATTTATAAACATGATAAATGCGTCGGTATAATCCAAATGAATTTTCATTAAGCACATGCTACTTAGACGCTATGTTTGTTTTCGATTTCTCTTTCAAATGATCCGCCGTACGTGTATGCGGATTTCGATAAATCCATTGGATCTGAAAAAAAATGTCCTAATCTGTTTACCGTTAGCTCACGCAGTCCCTGTTACACCGTTTGGAACGAAATCGAAAGCAGTTTCCACGTCGATTTCACTCCTGTAACATTGACTCGCGTTATTTATTTGTCTGCGCGATCCATACCGCTCGTGCTGGGTTTTGATGAACGACGCCTGAATTGGGATTCCGTGAATCAGCTGTGAACTCCACTTAGGATATAGATGCGCGACATCCGTAACAAGGTGAACTTCCAAACGGGCGAGGTTTCTACGTAGATAAGATTGAAAGTCCTTATTGGCGCAAGAGGCCAGAAATGTGCCGCTACGTGAGAATGAGATGTTGGATTTGTTGTTGGTGAGAGTGGCGATGAAAAAGTGAATCAAGGAAGAATGAAAAGGAGCGCGAAATCGATTCTGGAGATGTTCACGTTGAAGAGGCGCAAGCTTTCCGCTGGGAACGAAGCCACTTCGAGGCGTAACGGGCAATCAACGAAATGCTCCATCTTCGTTGAATCAATTAACGATCACTCGCAGGTGCTTAGACGTTGCAGGGATTTGAAACTTGTTAGTGACTTAATTTAATACGCGTATAGATTGAGTCCCGGTGGATTTTAGTATAGAGAAATGTTTATTTTAGCCAATTTTTTTATGCCACGTGCATCCGAAAGGATTTCATATTTATATAGTATTGTATTGAGCCTAGGCAGTCGAAACCGTTGAAACGCATCGACTGAAGTTAGCTCGGTCATTTGATTTCTATACGAGTGCCAACTTCAGGTGGTTGCGTTTGAGCTGACTCGTCGTTGTGCATAAGCGCGTGGTTCGTTGGCCGTCGAGAGAGCCTAATTTTCATAGTCGACATTTTTCATGAAAACAGTCGACAAAACTGGTGTCGTCGACGCTCGAGGAAACGAAGGAACTTGACTCAAGGAGACGTCTCATTTGGCCGTCGCTTAATGCTGTGAAAACGGAAAAAGTAACTAGATACGTGTGCAATATGGATGCAGCACTTGTAATTAAGACCGTGGTGTAACGAATTCGAGATTCTAGAGGATCCGGTCTTAGCTTTGTGATGAAAAGAGACAATGCAGGTACTCGAGGAGTCAAGTGACCCCTTAACCTCCATGTAACTTCTGTCAGGTTAGAGCAGTGAAATGGCCGTGCGTCCCTGTTGATAAAACAGAAAAAAAAAGTGCAGTCGGTAATGTAGATCGCATTTCAAGCCCGACCCGTTTATGTATCTTCTCGCGTATATTCCGTAAATAAAAACCATTATATATTATTTCGTATATGCATCGCGCAAACTCTAATTAGTTCGTCATCGACGAAGGTGCAGGAGATAACTCCAGGAAGTATCGCGCATCGCTGCCATCGTTATTTACGTCCTTTGTTTCCGGTCTGCCTGGCGATACAGTATGGAGCCACGCCTCGAGCTATTTTTTCATTACTTTACAGGATATTTGAAACTGGATATCCGATGGCCATAAAGTGAAAAAAAAAATTCTATAAACTTTCACCAAAGAGCTGATCTATGATTATCGATTCTGCGACGTACGGTAAATTTTGAGACGCATCGCGAAATGAACTTAAAAAATGTAACTGGGTTGCGCGCCAAAGTATTCCGGACTGCTAATAGAGAAACAGCTAACGGACAGATCCTAATTAAGCTCGATTTCTATTTCTGTCGGTATCCCGATGGAATCGACCAAGCGGAATAAATTGGCAGCTAATCGAACTGCATTTAGGTACATCCTCGACTCCACCATTTTCAAGCTCCATGTTCCTTTTGTTTCAGCCTCTGCACGGACAGCAGCTGAGTGGTCACGGAAAAGAACGCAGAAGAGCACCAGCCCTCAGCAAAGCTCAGAGACGTATAAAAGCGTCCAGCACCCCTGCGCTCCTCGACCGGGAACACGAGGGGTATGTTTTCCTCATTCATAAATTTTCCGGCTTCAACCCACCTGGTTTCACAGGTCTCGGTTCTTCAGGCCGCAAGTAAATCATATTCAAGATTTTGCCGACCCACCCGACAGGAGGTCGAGCCTCGTGTTTCAGAGAAAAACGGCGTTCGCTTTCAAATGTCCGTCTTAAGGGGGTGAAATTATTTTAAAAAGGCAGACAGGTAACAAAAGAGGGAGTGCTATGATTTCTGGGCATACCTAGAACCAAAAAAAAAAAAGAAAATTAAAAAATCATCTCAACAATTTTTAATCCAATTCCAAGTACTCGTGTCGTACACAATTTACGTAAATACGATATCATGTCAAGACACAGAAAAATACATGGTGAACGTGGAAACGGTGGAAGATAAATATTAGCCCGCGTAGACCGTTCCCTGTGTTTGTATTAGGAGCCGATGCCGATAACCCTCAGGAGCGGCTTCGGGGAAGTCACACGGAAGCCACGTAGAAAATGCCAGAGGCTGTTTGATCCCACATTCACTTGGCTGACCCGCTTTAAAATGTTTGCGGCGTCGTAGTTTCGCTGCGACAGTCTGTTTGAACAGTTATATATGAAGACGTTATTTTAGACGACCTACCTCAAGTCACGTCATATCCACCACCGTGTCAGGATCCTGAATACCTGAATTTAAGGTCACTTCAATTATACTTTCAATAGGACGCGAGCTACAGGACCACCTTGGTGCAGCTTCTGAACCCTTA